GGAAACTCTTGGCCCAGCTAGCCTGCTGTACATACCTGTAAACAACAAAAGACCCAGTCTCAAACAAGGTGAAAACCAACACTGGACGTTGTTGTGGAAGTTAGAATGTTTTTGGCCCCCATAATCTCATAGGGAGTGGCACCATAAGGAGGCATGGCTTTTTTGGAGTGATGTGGCCTTGTTGGAGGAAGTGTGTCACTGTGGGGGGGCGGGCTTCGAGGTTTTCTATGTGCAGGATACCACCCAGTGTCTCAGTTGATTTCTTGTTGCCTACAGAATGTAGGACTCTCGGCTGCTACTCCAGCACCACATCTGCCTGCATGCCACCATGCTCCTAGTCATGATGATCATGGACTCAACCTCTGAAACTGTAAATTGCCACCTCAATTAAATGTTTTCCTTTATAAGAGTTGCTATGGTCATGATGTCTCTTCACAGCAATAGAAACCCTAACGAGGACAATTGTCCTCTGAATTCTACACATATACTGTTGCACAGAGGCACCTACAGTTGCACACACAAAAAATGCACACATGTATGCATACACACACAGATTTAAAATAAACAAAAAACCTACTAAAAATTATAGCTTATCAATTCTAGATGTCCGAAAGCCATGGTTTAGCCTAAAAGGTAAAGGCAATATCAAGCAACAACAATGAAGCTGGGTTTGGGGGCCTGGGTTCAGATCCCCATTGCCTACAAAGAAGCCGGGTACAGTGGAATGCTCCTACAACCCTAGGGCTGAGAGTCGGTTGGGTGGAGACAGGTAGTCCCTTGGGCTTTGGGGACCAGCCAGTTCAGGTAAAACAGGCAACTTCAAGTTCAGTGAGAGTGTCTGTCTGAAAAAATGAGGTGGAGAACAATAGAGAGAGACACTTGATATTGAACTCCTGTTTTCACATGCATACCCAGGGAGCACACAAATGTGTATACATATGCATGTAGTAGTGCACACGCACGCACACACACACACACACACACACACACACCACTTGTGTAAAGCTATGCAGAGAAGGCTCCCCTTCTGCTTTAAGTAAACACAGCTGGGTGAGAAAGGACCATTTCATTTGGAGGGCCTCTAGGCAGATGTCCCTGTGACTGTGGCCTGCTGACGTGAGAGCCCTTATTACTCTAAACTCAATTTTTTTTATTAAGGACCACCATAAGCAAGTGCAATTAAATAGTGATGCATTATCTAGCAGAGGCTGCTGGGTACATTTCCTTCTCAGAAGAAGCATGAAGACATCTGTCTGTAACTAAAGCACTATGGCACCCCCACTGACCTCCCTCATATCGGGTCCTCAGTAAGTAATGATTTTGACGTGGAACATGTGAAGAGGTATTAGTTGACAGTCTCCTGTGTGCTCTAACTTTTGGGGCTGCTTCGCCAGCTAGTACAGAAGCGTGAGTCAGAATTGCTGGCTTACCTTGTGTTTACAGTTTAGTGGCAACCTGGCAGTTTTGTGTAAATGTTTGGTTATTATTTTCTCAAGCATTTTGGCTATCCCTTCCTGTTCTTTTCTTTGGACACTGCATTTAGGCCAACTCTTTTCACAAGGGTCTGGAGCGATGGCTCAGCAGTGAAGAGCACTTGCTGGTCTTTTGGAGGACCAGAGTTCAGCTCCCAGCTCTCATACCATCTGTAACCATCAGCTCTAGAGGATCTGATGCCCTTTTTTAGATTCTGAGAATACCTACACTCATGTGCATATATCTACACAGAGGTACAGATATGCATACATATACATAATTAAAATTAACAATTTTTTAAGGCAGGGTCTCACTATGATGGCTTGAACTCACTATAGATTAAGCTGGCTTCAAACTCAGAGAAATCCTGCCTCTGCTTCTTGTGTGCTGAGATTAAAGGAGTGTGCCACCAGGCCCATCAATAAAAATCTTTTGATGAGGTTGAATAGGTTCCTGAAATATTGTCAATTTTTAAAAATTTATTATCTAACATTGTTAATTTTATTAATTTTTTGAGGGAGGGGTTGAGACAGGGTTTCTCTGTGTAGCTTTTGTAGCCTGTCCTGGATCTTGCTCTCTAGACCAGGCTGGCCTAGAACTCACAGAGATCTGCCTGCCTCTGCTTCCCAAGTGCTGGGACTAAAGGCATGTGCCACCACTGTCCAGCTTAATTTTATTAATTTTTTAAAAAAGATTTGTTATTTTTATTTTATGTGTATGTTTCCCTGAATGTAAATCTGTGTACCATGTGCACAAAGTTCCCTCAGAGACCACTGGGAACTCTGGAACCGAAGTTACAGGCAGCTGCAAACTGCCTTGTGGGTGCTGGGAGCTGAACCCCAGTACCCTGCAAGAGCAGCAAGTGCTCTCTGCCGTGGAGCCCCCGTCTTCCTACCCCCAACATTGTTCATTTGTTTTTCACTTTTTATTTGTTCTATGCATCATATATCTTGATCCCATTCATTCCCCCATCCCTTTGCATCTGTCCTCCACACCCCCACACACACCGTGCCCCCCAGCAAAATAAAACAAAATTTAAGAGAAAAAAGTGAAAAAAAGGAAAAAATGAAAAATCTCGTCATGGAAGCTGCAGTGTGACATAGTGAGTCACGCAGTAAATTCCCCTTTTTGGTCCATAGATCTTCGCTTGTAAGTGTTCATTGCAAAGAGTCATTGGTCTGGTCCGAGGCCTCTGGTTTCTGCTGCACTATCGATGCTGGGTCCTCACTGGGACTCCTCCTGGATATCCTGTTGTTGCCCTGTGTCCTGGAGATCCTGCAGCTTTGGGTCTTCAGGTCAGGTCCCTTCACGTGCTCCAGCAGATCATAGATGGGTGGATGATGGGTCAGGTCAAGTCATAACCCTGGTTCTGGGCCTGGGCAGCTGTAGGGTTGGTCCACCAACATCGTTAACTCTTAAAAAATCTTTTCTTCCATGCTTTTCAGATTAGATAAGTAATCTAGTCATCTAAGTTCACTGACTCTCTTCTTCTCTTATTTTTTTAAAGTTTTTTTTTTTGCATTTTATGCATATGAGTGTTTTGCCTGCCTGTACACATGTGCACCATGTGTGTGTCTGGTGCCTGCAGAGGCCAGAAGAGGCATCAGATCCCCTGGAACTGGAGTTACAGATGGTTATGAGTCACTCTGTAGGTGCTGGGAGCCAACCCTGGGACTTCTGCAAGAGCAGCCAGTGCTCTTAACCACGGAGCCATCTCTCCAGCCCCAAACCTGCTTTTCTAAAGGAAAAAAAAAAATAACTTTTTGTTTTATGTTTCCTTTGCGTGTGAAATGGTCTCCCCATCCCCCACTACTGATGAACCGCAGCTCAGTGAGTTATGTTTTCATGGTAGTTTTCCCTTATAGTTACAGGCAGGTGCTGTCTGTCTTGCAGACTTGATTTCATAAATGCTGAGATTTTTCTAACTCAATATAACTAGTTTGTGCTTTGGTTTTACTTACTTGGCTGTTTTTATTTACACAGTGTATAAGAGAAATGAGCACACAAAGACATCCTGGTTATAGATTGGTAAAACCAGAGCCTCTGGCTTGAGACTTAACTCGAAGTCTTCTACGGTCATGATGCACTTTTGTGTATTGGGCCTTGTGCTCAGTGAAAGGTAAGAAACACCCAGCTCGTTCCTGTGAGGTTCGGTCTGCATTTGCCATAAGGACACAATTTGTCTGATACCCTCAAGTTCATCACTTTCCTGACACACTAGGGGATTACTTTTTGTTCATTTTTGACAGTGTCTTATGTAGCTCAGACTGGCCTTGAACTCAATAGCTGGCCAAGAGTGACCTTGAACTTCTGATCCTTTGGCCTCCACCTCCCAAGTGCTGGGATCATAGGTGAGTGCTACCAGGCCCAGGTCAAGGATCCTGTTTGCTACTTAGAAAGCTGACATCCATTAAGCCATAGAGTAGATCCCCAAAATGGTCAGCAAGATGGCTTACAGGTAAAGATGCTTGTCATAGGGTTTCATGACTTGACTTTGATTCCCCTAAACCCACATGATAGGAGAGAGCTGTCTCCTTCAAGTAATCTCTGACCTCCACACCAGTGTGTGTGTGTGTGTGTGTGTGTGTGTGTGTGTGTGTGTGTGTGTGTCATACTTTGTTTCTCTCTCTCTCTCTTACACACACACACACACACACACACACACACACACACACACACAGTTAAACTAATAGACTTCAGGGCAGCCTTCTGGTGAGTGCTGGCTTGCAAGAACTGATTTTATAAGCTGCTTGTTAAACATGGCCATTATTAAATATTGAACCTGATAACTTACAGTTAGATAGATTATATTGAAAACAACAGCAGTATGTCCTCAACACATACCACTTAGTAAGTACTGGACAGAACTAACTTTTCCCTCTGCTCCCAGGGTTTTTGAAAAGGTTGTCCCTTTCTGGTGGAAAGACTTCACGGTGGTGTGATCCTGCTTCCCTCGTCCCACTTCCACAGCCAGCTGTTCCTGTTGGAATTGGCCACAAAGGAGTATTTACACCACGGGAACTGGGATGTGCTACAAAACGGCATCTTTTGTTCCTTGGTAGAGACCCTTAAACACATTGCCAATCTTTACCATGAGAGACATTTTCCCACGGCCCGCAAAGCCCGACCATTGATCCTTCTAGTGGCTTGTTCTACTCAATTAAACAAGGTTTGTGTCTTGGTTATTGTTACAAGTTTGATTACTCCAGTTGAATTATTAGCAGAATGTATTTCTACTAAGCCTACGTAAGTACATGATTATGAAAAAGAAAAATAATTTAGTACATAAAAGCACTTGGAGAATTGCTCGGCACAATGGTTCATGCCTGCAATTCTAGCACTTAGGAGGCAGAGGCAGGAAGGTGATAAGTTCAAGGCCAACCCAGGCTTCATGAAAAGTCCCAGCCTGGGCTATACAATGAGACGGTCTCTTCCTCCCCAAAAAGAAATCCCTTTGAATAACATTTAATAGTTGCTTTTGGGTAGTTTGTAGCTAGTCTATTAATACAGGAAATTAATCTCTTGAAAGTATTTTTCAGTTTCCTAATTTAAAATATATACTAAGAATGTTCACAAGACGTCTTCCGTTGCTCCATTTCTGAGGAGGGCTGCTGGGGTGGTTATCACAAATCATATTTCATTCCCGTTTGCGCAAGTATAGCCTGTAAAATTTATAATGGGAGATAAAGGACTTTTCCCCAGGAAACAACGAGAAATAGAACGTTAGTCACATGTAAACCTGTCTCCTCACTCCCAGAAGTTCACTTCTGTTTCACCAGTCTCGGGCTGAGCAATCTGTGTTCCTGAAATCACCTGTGCTGCTAGGATTTGGGGGTCCTCGCCCAGTTGCAGCCCAAGACCGACCGGTGTGTGATAGGGCAGCAGTTCTCACAGCAGACCTGCGTTCTGAGGCACACTTGCCCAGGCTCTCCTGCTTCTTCGGGGTTTTCTTTAAAAGGTTGCTATTCTCTTCTGGGTTTACAGTCTCCGGTCAAGCTGGTGGGAAAAGCAGACATCTATTGACGGTGAAACTGAACTGCTTCCGCTATTTTACTATCATAATCAACAGGACCAGAATGGTCACGAGCCATCCAATCGCTGCAGAGCCGGGTCCTTGAGTCCAGGGGAGCACAGCCAGGGTTTTAGTAGGACACCTGTAGCGAGTGGTTCATAGGAGACCCCGAGCGGACAAAGAGCAGGTGAGGTGGAAGCCTCCCGTCAGAAGAGAAAACCCGTGCCCAGGAGTGTGTGCTCTTGCCTGAGCTCCGTCGTGGGGCGGCTCTCTGCCCACTCCTGCGGGAAAGCAGGTCTGCAAGAGGCGGGCTCCTGCCTCCATCTGTGTAAGTAGAACACGTTTATAGCTGTTCTATTTTTAACTTGGAACTGCACGTGAGTCCGGGGTCTCCATTTATGTCTGTCTCACTTTGTGGTGAAACCACAAAACAGGTATGGTCCCCACGGGGCCCCTTCTCAGCCTCTGGGTGGTCCCAGGCTTTCCCATAATACAGGGTTTTAGTTTAATGGCTTCCCTGGAGAGTGAGGGCACTGACCCCAGGCCTTAATCATCTCATAAATCTTGTTTACTTGTTAACAGCTGACAAGGGTATTTTAAGCCTAGAAATAAAACCTTCCCACTTTTAAATTTTTTATTTTCGGCATGACTGGGGATTTAACCCAGGCCTCCTCCACGCAAAGCAAGTGCTCTGTTACTGAGACACATCTCCAGTCCTTAATTCTTATTTTATTTTAAAAATGAATTAATTTACTTTTTTATGTACATGTGTCTTTTGCCTGAATGTATATGTATAT